GAGGCCAACTCTTCAGACAGGGATTTCACTGGACTGTGGGACATAAATTGATACTTGTGAGGAGTGTGCCTCTTAGCTCAAGTAGATACGAGAGAGTAAACGGGTAGTGTCTCTCCAGAGGTGAGACGGGAAGACGGAGAGGGTTAAGAGCTGGTTGAATAGATATGGGGAATCAGGGGTGGAAAGGAGAAGTGTGCTGTCACAGTATGGGGAGAACAATTAGAGTCACATAACAATGTATGTATAAATTTTTGTATGGGAAAAAAAAAATGGGTCAAAGCCCTGCAATGGGGGACTCGGAAGACACGTAGTGAGCCGTTTAGGGAGCCTGATGCATGAGATTGGATTGCTGGTGGGACTGTGGAGAGTGACACACATTCAAAGCAGCCAGTTGGCCACCATCTCTGAGCGAGGCACTGCTTTTTCCGACTCTGCTTAAAATCCGAGGCGCCAGAGATTTGGTTGCTATGCAACGTGTATGCTACCCTTGTTTTCTATGAAGGAGATTAGGCTTCTAGCAGGGCTCCAGCCCATAATTTTTCCTGTTCTGGTTCACTCTAATTTTTAAAAAATTCGGGTCTGTCCCCGTTTTGCTTCCTTGGCCATGACTGAACCAAGAATAACTGCTTCGAAGCCCTGATGTAAAGGTATGATTCCTAGTGTAAAATTGTAATTTTATATATTTCTATTTTTAGTCTATTATGCAAAAATAATTTACTTGGGTCCATAGTTCAAAACAATCAGAGAAGGTTGCAAATGTGAGATTACTGTTATTCGAATAATTACATGAAGCAAATCTATGTGAAAAATCAAAGTCCAGTCATGTTTTTCTCCTGAAATGCTTTTTCTTAGATACACTGGGATATCAATTAAGTATTTCTGAAATAAATAGAATGAAAGTGATTTTACCCTGAACAATGTCATTAAAATTATGAGGCAGGGCAGGAGGTTGTGGGGCAGAGGCGTGAGCATCATTGGCTAACATGGGTGGGCTCAGCTTTAAGTCACAGCTCCAGTATCTCAAAGAAAACAATACTAATGACATCTTGAGACAGTTTCCAAGTGAAATGCTTACCTATTCTCTGGAGATGTAGGCAGCACAGTGGTTAAGAGTATGGCTCTGGAGCCAGATTGCCTAGGTTCAAAGATTGGCCCATGTACTTTCTAGCTAGGGGACTCTGACCAAGTGACTTCTCAGATTTCTCACCAAAAATGTTTACCAGTACCTATATCTCAAGGAACTGCTGTAAAGATTTAATGTATAAAGCTATATAGAATATTATGTGTCTGGTAGATACTGTAAGATGATGATGATGGTGGTAGTGATGATGAAATATCATTACTATTAGCCTTTCTGTTCCTAGGAAGAACAGAAGCTAACCTTTTCAAGCCCAAATACAGGCTGCTTTAGCATGGTGGTGTTAGGCACCGATTTGGAATGATCAGCAGTGGTAACGTTCTAAAGCCTTTTACTGAGAAGGCCTGACTTCAACAGCTCATACTTCGTGAAAATATTTAACATTCAGGGTACACTACTCCTTTGTGGAATAAACATCTATCCTCTGAATCTGTGCAAACAATGTCACTCTAAAAGCAGAAACAATCTCCATGGGGAGCAGAGGACGGAGGGTGATAACATTAAATGTGTTACAGTGTGTATGGGGTATGATTGCCCATAGATAATATTCATGATGAAAGGCAAGGGAGTCACTTGGTTCCCACTTCCTTCACTCTTCAGCTTTGCCTAGATGCCTATCTAAAGATAAAGGACAAAACATTTATTCCCACAAACCTCTCCCTGCATGCTAAAAGGGCATGAGACGGAGGAGATCTATGCAGAAGGAAGACTACTCTAGCGCCTAACAAATGGCAACAGGATGCTGCCCTGTTTACACATGCCACATCTTCCTGGTGAGTCTGAGGGAATGACTGAGGACAGGAGAATGGGGGAAGTGGTGGTTGCAGCAACAGGAAGCCAGAGCTGGGGTCCGGGAGTGACATACAGGTTGGAGTCAGGAAAGGTCTCAAGAGAAACAAGAGAGTATACCAGAAAGAAGGGGTGGGGGTGGGGGTGTGTCTTCCAGGCCTCAGAGTCATGGGAGGTTTGTGAATCCAGACTGTACCCAAGTAAATGATAAGTTACAAGTGATCAAGAACCACTGGTCTGAGAATATAGAGACTTGGTCGGTGATCCAGATGCCCAGAGATAGTTCTGTAGACGTTATGAGGACTGGAGCATCCATAATTGCTTGGCCCTGACAGTGAGGTGAATGGGAGAACTCTGCCTCCCCAATTTTGGCACTTTCTGCAATGTGATATACTCGCGGGAGATGCTGTTGGGCGTGGAAACCTCAAGGGGAAAGACAAGAACAATGGTTGAGAATCACTATTTTTGAATATACCTTCACTTTTCCTCTGCATTTGCATCCTGTTAACTTCATGGTGACTGCTTTTGGCAAACAATTTGTTCCCAACTACTGCTGAGCTTGAGGTGCCTGGCACAGGCTGTACAAAATTCCGGGAGTTTGAGGTATGAATGTTTACAATATTTCTACAGACAGGATTCAGAGAGTGTGCTGAGTTTAATGAAGAGTTCTTGGATTCTTCAGGAAGCTTTTCTTCTTTGGGCTTGCCATTTTCCTCAGGAGTCAACTGTTCTTCTACAGTGAAAAAGACAAGGGTGGTTATCTTCAACAGATTTACAGCTCAAACACTATTAATAGAGGTCAAAAAGTCCTAATTCCCCACAATGGTTCACTTAACTCACGTTATACTGAATCACAAACCTCTAACACAAAGTACATGGCCATCCCCTCCTTGGCATTTGTAGTAATGGGCACTGTTCTGAAGTCCAAAATGATTCTATGACCTCACCTGTATTTCTCATGGCAACTATTCCTTGCCAGTCTTGCCACCAACGCTATAAACACCTGACTAAAGCGTTCATTTTTTAGGAACCCATTCTTTACAACAATTTGTTATAATATGATCACACAGTTGATTTCTAACATCTGCTTACTACTTGCACAGTTAAATGTTCATTAGAGAAAGGTGCTAGGTTTTTCTATTCCTCTTTCTATAAGCTTTTAGCATTGCAAAGCTGAATGGAAAATGTTATTGTAATTATTTTCTGTCTAAGAAGAAATGACAGCTATGCACTTCTGAAGGGAATAAAGTGCTCAAAAATGCTGCCAAAGTGGCCTAACGGCCAAACTGATTTGGGGAAATATAGTTCCTTACCCACAACACCACCATCCCAAGAGCACAGGAAGGTGGTGGTAGAGGGACTTCTCTTCCCAATCACTGGGGGCATGTAAATGCTATTTACCTTTAGAGGCAAGCATCTTTGTTTTGGGGAACTTAGGAGAGAGAGGAGCAGCATAAGGTAGAGGTTGCTGAGACGATCGTTTGGTGCTTTTCTTTCCTGATAAATCTTCTTTTTCTATTTTTAAAAAATAAAGGTGTCTGTTATAACTAATTAATATACTTCAGCATTTTCATGTCATCAGCATAAAACAGTCTGTCTCTAAACCATTTACCTGCTGTAACTTTATTAACAATCTGCCCATTATTTGATTTTAAATTTTTTAAAAAGTTTTTAAAAATTTTTATCATGGTGAAAATACACATAACAAAACATACACCATCTCAACAATTTCTACATGTACAATTCAGTAACACTGATTATATTCTTCAAGCTATGCAACCATTCTCGCTATCCTTTTGTGAATAACATGTCTTTATTTCATCTTATTAAATATTTCAATAACATCATATTCAAGATTTAGAAGCATTTTCAGGAGTATGTCTAGACTTCATTATTCTGGGGTCATCGAATTTCTCTAAATACATTACGAGGCAGTCAGGCAACCCATTATGTCTAAAAAGGCATGGGAAAATTGCTCCATGAGCAAGGGAAGTTAAGAGAAGGAGAAGATATGGTACAATGGACACCCTATTCTGTAGACAAGAATCCTGGCCTAAGGCTACCCTTAAAACCATTCTATTGCTTACTTATCATTCAACCAAATGTATTTCTACCTAAAGAACCTTTCTTTAAACTATGATCCTCACAGCAGACACCTCAAGTTATCAACTACACCCTAAGTACCAACCAGTATCTTGGTTTAACCTCCAGCTAAAAGGACAAATAAGGTAAAATAGAAATCAAGAAAGTCTAATAGGCCTCAAGAGGGAAGAAAGATTGCAATGAGAAAGCACTAAAGCCAAACTTGATCTGCTTCAAAAGTTTGGCTGGGGGCCAGGCAGACCCCTCAAAATCATCTGATGAGTAACTTTCAGCAATCCAGTTACTGACTGATATTGTATGAATGAGTTCAGGAGAGTTCTAACCACTTTTTATTTTTTACCCATGGCCTACAAAATCAACAGGCAAAACATATTTTAGCGCATGATAAATATTTCTACAATTAAGGCTTATTTAAATTCTAAGGAAAAGAAATAATTGACTTTTTCATAATCCATTTACTGATACAGACAACTCTAGCACTAAAGTACAGTTTTCTCTAGCAGTTTATGTCAGAATCTTAGCAAGATCAGAAAGTCTTATCTTTTACTTGTAATATACTAATATTTTCTTTATGAAAAGCTTACAAAGTTGGTAGATGGTCTACTATCTGGAGCTGACATAAACATAAAATATACAATTGAAATTGATTCTTGACCTTTGCTTCTGGGTAGTATAGTAAGCTAAGGCAGGAAAATGTTCCTGCAGTGCTAACTAGAAAAAGCCAGATAATTTACAAAATATTGTAAAAGGCATCATAGAGCGGCACGTCTAGAATGGCATATTAAGAACCTCCAAAACTCCACTCCTCCATAAAAGCAACAAAAACATTGGAAAAAATTGTCAAAATCAGCTTTGCTCTGAAAATTAACTAAAGGCCTGCAACAATCCAAGGAATGTTTATTCAAGAAAAATGGCCAAATCTTGGTAAGAACAGTGAGGTTTATGGCATTTTAACTTGCCCTAATATCATCTCCCTCTCCCTAGTTTCACAGTAGCCTTGAAAACCAACAGCTTCACAACTACAGTAGCTAGGAAAACCAGCAGCCTAGCAGCCACTGGACAGGGCACAACAGCTCTGGTGCTCCTCAAAAGCCTTATCCCCAGAAAACTGTCACTATTCAACCTGTCTTGCAGCACACTGAAAAAAGTCCCATTCTTGGGGTGTCTTTACATGACCTGAATCAGAACCCAGACTGTGTGAACAGTCCTATCTCTAGGCATCTATCAAAAACAATCATCAGCAGCTACCTTTTACTGCTCCTATTTCATGGCTGGCATAACGTAGGCCAAGAGTCTACATATACTTTCTCTCAATCTCACAACTCAAGAGGTATTTATTAGCCCCACTTTACAGATAAGGAAATTGAGACTCAGTGAGGTTTGGTACTTTGCCCATAGGCACAAAGCTAGTTAATGGAAGAACTTGGATTAAAATTTAGGAGTCAGACTTCATGCCCTTTCGGCATAGATGAGGTCTGACAAACTCCAACTGTGCTCTTTCCATCCCACAGCTTCTTCATGAGGCGCCTTGGTGGTGCAGTGGTTAAGTGCTCAGCTGCCAACCAAACGGTTGAAGATTCGAGCCCACCAGCCGCTCCGAGGGAGAAAGCTGTGGCAATCTGCTCCCATAAAGATTTCAGCCTTGGAAACCCTATGGGGCGGTTCTACTCTGTCCTGTAGGGTCGCTGAGTTGGAATCAACTCAACAGCAACAGGTTAGTTTAGCCTCTTCATGTGTACTTTAGCAAGGATGTCATGGCATCACACCTTTCTTTTTCAAAAGGACTCACTGGGCAGCTATACTACAGGGGAGAAACTAACTGGAAAGAGGATTCCAGGTAGAAAATTGTTGGACTAAACCAGAGAAGAGGTTAATAAGGTTCTGAAACAGGTTGGTGACAAATGAATAGAGACAAGGGAATGGATAAGAGATCTCAGTAAAGTAGAGGAGATAGGATTTACGCGGAAAGCTGTGAATGGGGAAAGCTGTGGGTGACAGGGAAGTCCAGAGAAAAAGGAGTAACTGAAGATGATGCCAAAGCTTTACACTTGAGTGAAATGAGAATTAAAATCCCTGGTCTTAAACAGATAGTCTGTTACAGTACTATATACTCCCAGCATCAGCAGCACTTGGCCAAGGAACCATGAGCCTGTGACACTTGAGGAGAATGTCAGCTACTCTTAGAAGACTCACATACAACCCTGCCATAATCAGCAGACTATGGTTAATCTTCAGGAATCACATGGAACTGGGATAAACCTCTTTCAAAGAACACTTGCTAGAAAAACCCCCCAAAAGGTTTCTTATTTCAGGGACCCAAAGCAAGAAAGAAGCCTTTGGTTCTGCAGGACTATACTACATCCACCCTCTTATTCAGACATCAGTTTGGGGTTCTTGTGGAAGAGACACGACATAGCTCAAATGTTAAACACGAGCAGATCACTCATTTGTCACCTCTCTCAATGACTGCAACAAAAATCTTTATCATTACAGCCACTAGGCTAAAAATGCTCTAACTTCTTAGGATTATAAAGGTCAATAATGTTAAAGCCATACTTCAATCTAATAGAAAATATATAGCTCTGTGATCTAGTCACAAAGAAACCAAACATAACCTATTGGTTTTGATTCTCAAGTTCATTATGAATCCAACAAGAAATTATTTTTTCTTTCTGAATGAACAAAAATTACTATATATTACAAATTTCTAATTAGTTCATTGTGGTTAAAATGCTTACTGTGAGACAGACACAAGGAAGAACTCTGAATTAAACAAGATCCTCAAGTTAATTATAAAATACAATATAAAACGAAGCACAGTATAAAATTTACACTTTCTCTCACCTGATTTATCACTATCATGCTCCACAGGGCTATGAGTATTACTCTTGTAAGAGCTAAAAGGCTGGCTACTCAAAAGGTTATCACACTGCAGGCTCTGGCAGAAGGTTTCAAGAAAGCGAAGAGCGAATGATGCGCTGTTCACTGGAGGGAGCTGGATAGAATGATTTTCCCCGTCGAAGGAGGCTATTAGGGTGGAAAAAGATGATGTCAAACTCAATCAGGAAGATGAGAAATACAACACTATCAAAAAAGTCATCAAGTTTAGAAATGTATTAAAAGTCTACTTTGTGGTTTTTGTAATTCATAAAGGAATAATCTTAAATTATAAAAGTTCCTCTCATTCAAACACAACAGCCTGTTTTGGTAAATGCATTGTCATTTTAAAATATTCATAAAGTAAACAACATCAGAAACCCACTGATCTATAATAACACTTCCTTCTATTCCAAACATTCCATGGGTACAAATGTTATGATATCTGATCACACAATCATGGAAGCCAGCTGTACCCTATCTTTTAATGACTTCCTGAGTAACATTTTTAAAGCTTCTTATAGATCAGTCTGTTTTCCATAAAAATCAAATTATATTTATCAGCCAAGGTACTTTGTCTATAATGAGCTTAAAACAGCATGTAAAAGGAAAAATCTGTACCCTTTGCCTCAATTTACAGTATTACTATGGCATTACTTGTTTATTTTGAAAGTAAAACTAAACTTTCCAAACCAGGTTTAAAAGTCATTATAAGATGTTAAAATTATATTATAAATATTATAGTATATCAATATAAATAAACATATTATAGTTTATAGAATACAAATATTATAAAATAGTCTACATATTAAAGAGTCCTTGCCTTCTCGACACCTAAAATCAAACACAGAAAAGAAGTTTAATAAAGGATTAGATGAGCGTACCAGTTATCACTTCTCCTCCACGATGATCTGGCTTAAGGAATCCAAAAACAGTCTTAGTTTGAAGGGCACAATCTACACAGGCCTGCACAGTCCGCCGGAGCACAACATTCACAGGGCCAGGCCCAAAGTGGTCGGGCAGTTGCTGGATTCTCTTCTGATCCAGGTGAGGGCCAGAGTTTCCATGTTTATTTACATAGACACAGACTTGGGGGAAAATGTGCATAAAGATATAACAAACAATGAGATTGGTTAAAAAGAACTTTGTGAAAATACTACAGTCAATTACTTCGTCCTACTAGCCACTTCTCTCAAAGAGAACCTAAATCATAGCTACTATCAATGATCATTTCTGCTTCCTAAAATATATATATATATATACACACACACAAATGTTTTCACATTTGGGTAAAGATATTAAACATACAAAGAAATAATCAAAATGCTTACTCAAATTTCTAGAATTTTATCCAAACTGATTATACAAGTTTCAGTAGCATCACAAAACAATTTTCCATACATTCCCACATTATATAAAATGGTATAAAGATAGATCAATATTTTCATCTTTTAACTGTACACACACTAAGAGAATTTTCTTTCAAAACTGGTCATATTTGTACATTCCCTTTTGGAGTGAATTTATTTTAAATCACCAATATTGTACCTTAATTGTATTTTCTAAAGTAACCAAAAAATTTAAAGTATATGTCACAGTAAGTTATAATGACACAGAGAACTTTATTTCATTAATCTTAAGGGGAAAAAGTGTTTCTTCTATATATGCTGAGGTTTACTGAAGAAATTTAAAAAAAATAAACTCTTTCCTTAGTATAATGAAAACATATGATATAGAAGCAATTAATCTATAATCACACAAATGTCAAGTTTCAATGATTTTTCTTCACTGAGAAAAGAAAATCAACATACAATGCAACAACACAAGGGTACATTATTAAAAGCCATTCAAGACTCAACCGTAGTGCTGACAGTATGGACAAAGTTCTACTGGACACAAGTGAAGCTAAACAGGATTTCTATGTTTTATCTCCTTTGCATTATCCTGCTAATGGATTAAAAACCAGAAATAAATAAACTGACAAAATAAGATGTTATAGTAGTCATTTTTTTCTTTTAAGTGATTTTTATTTTTTAAAAAAAGTATAATTTCTTTCAGTCAGGAAAGAAAATTTTGGGGAAAACGTCCAGGGAACAGAGGAGAATAAGGGAGATACAAGCCTAGGAGAGGAAGCCATAGAGCGTGCTTTAAAACACAGGAAAATATTCAAAGGATAATAAGAGGGATTTATTTGTCTGCGTCTGTGTTGTTTCATACTCTTCACACAGGGAACAATTTAAAGTCACATGCCCCTTGCCAGGCAAGGACCTGTCAAAAAAGGATACTTTTAAAAGGCATTAAAAAAGAGTTTGAGGTAGCTTTAAAAATGCATGCAATACAAAAAGACAAAATAACTGTGAAATGAGATAAGAGGAAAACAAGTATAGATTCGACAATTATGTAAAATTTTATAAATTTTACTGAAATGGATAAAATAAGGGTATTGACTTTTCATGACTCGTGTATTTAAACAGGTTGTTGATCTTTAAATATCAACTTGAACAATCATAATTTAAAAATACCTTAATATAAAAAATACTAATAAAAATGTTTACTATTATCCTTTTTCTTTCCTCTTATTTTATTTCCAGGATCTCAGAGACACTGAAAATAACACAGAATAAAAGATTAGTAATTTTAGTCTTTTAAAAATACTAATTTACCTGTAGACATCACTATTTTAGATGTCCCAGGAATGGAACCCTTATCATTTGGAGGAATGCCACGGTCACTGGCCACCAAATTTACACAAGCTGCAGATGTAGAACACAAAGCAGGAAGACTTTTTTCCTGTTTAAAAAAACAAAACAAAACAAAAAAAAGGAACACAAGTATGCATTACCCTTAAAAAAATTCCTAGATAAGGAAGTCAGAAAATTATTTGCATCACTGGTTCATGGAGTTATTAGTTATCAGGAGTCCTCAGGGTTGACACCTCTGTGTGTGTCATGTACTACGGTACTTTCCAAACTGTTCTCAGAGGCCTAGAAGCTGTCCAGATCAGTAGGGAGAGAGCAAAAGTCTGGGATTTCCAGCCCTACCCCCTGCTCTAAGGAATCACACTTTAAGCTAAATAGTTAATTCTGTAAAACTTGCTTTACATTTTGAGGTTCCCTGTATGACAAGGTTTTTTTTTCACTCCTAAAGAAAATCTGTAATCTCTAATCCAGAGCAAAACACCCAATGACAAAACAAATCAACAAGGCAGAGGATGAAGCTTGTCTTTAGAAAGCAGTCTTTACTGTATCTAGCCTGCATTTCTCCATATTATACACAAGAATTTTGACAAAATTACAAGTGGTTTACTGAAGTCCATACAATATTATGCCTATTGCATGTAAGAACCAAATGTCTCCTGGGCACTGTTAAGCATCACTAATGTTTTTGTTTATTTTACACCAACCCTTGGGGTTTTGTGGGAGCTACTTTCAAACACAACTCTCCAACATCACAGAAGGGGCTCTTGTGCCTAGAAAAAGTAATAATAGAGGACATTTAAAAAAGGCAGGACAAAGAAAGAATTAGGATAACATCCAATGTTGTTTTTCTTTATTTGTTTAAACTAATGAATGTCATTTGGGTTCACAGTATTCCACTAAATCGTGTTATTTTTAAGTGTTGAATTATAATTATTGGGTTGATATAATCTTGTTATTTCAGTATTTAAAATATCTGAAATTTGAATCCCTTGACTTGAGACATACCAAGATATGTCTGCATTAACATTACAAATTGAACAAAGGTACATTTACTTAGAAAATGTACTTCTATAATTCTTAAGGAGAGGAACAAAGTGACAGTTGGCAAAGAGTCTTTTGCAAGAAAAGTTGTTAACTCTAGTTCAAAGACTTTCCGAATAACTATGAACGCAGCAGCACTGAAACAGGGATGTAAGTAACTGTACGAGAATCTTCACCTTCACATGATGAAATAATAAAGCTAAAGAGGATGAAAGAGAATGGAAATGTTTCCTTTGAAACAAAACATACAGCTTGCTATTAAAAATATAAATATATTACAGTCTCTGTTCCCCCAAAAAACAATGCTTTCAGAAAGATCTCTTCAAAGTTGTCAAATAAGCATTAAAGTTATTTGAAAATAAAGGAATAAAAAAGAAACTATTTGGAGTTGCCTCTTCATCATTATACCAACTAATCACAAAGATCTTTTCCAGAAGCTGGAAAATCTGCATTAAATATGTATCAATGATACCCTTAATGCATTTTAACTTTTATTTAAAATCAAGTATTATTTCACTTAAAATTTTTCATCATTAGCTTTTCTTAATTTTATGTAGTTTATTTTTAATTCAAAAAATTTTGTTAATTTACATTAGAATAATCTACTTGTTTTTTAAATGCTTATAACTTTATATTTGGAATGTATTCGTTTTTATCGACTTTTGATTTTTGTTTTATAAAATTTGAATACTTTTAAAGTAAAAGTACTGGTATTAAATAACTATTTTTTAATCAAAAACTGCTATTGTCATTTTGCTCCATACTGTCAACATTAGCTGAAACAAAACAGCAATGTTATAGATGTTCATTCATATCAGCTGGCGGAACTCAGAAGTGTTTAAAGTAATATTGCTGAAATTTAATTCAGCCTCAATAGATCTGGAAAAGAAGACCTGCTGGCAAAATGGTTAAGCACTCGGCTGCTAACCAAAAGGTCAGCAGTTGGAACCCACCAGCCCCTCCGCAGGAGAAAGATGTGGCAGTCTGCTTTCATAAATTATTACAGCCTTGGAAACCCTATAGGGCAGTTCCACTCTGTCCTATGAGGTAGAACTGACTCAACGGCACACACGACAACAACAGATCCAGGAAGATTCAGGTTCACCTATTTATTTTCAATCTATCTATGCCTTTATAAGGTTGTGTCATCGGCATAATGCAGGTTATTAATGAGTCTTCCTCTAATCCTGATGTCCCATTCTTCTTCATATAGTCCAGCTTCTCGGATTATTTGCTCAGCATACAGATTGAATAGGTATGCTAAAAGGATATAACCGTGACGCACACCTTTCCTGACTTTAAACCATGCAATATCCCCTTGTTCTGTTCGAATGACTGCCTCTTGATCTATGTACAAGGTTCCTCATGAACACAATCAAGTGTTCTGGAATTCCCATTCTTTGCAGTGTTATCCATAATTTGTTATGATCCACACAGTCAAATGCCTTTGCACAGTCAATAAAACACAGGTAAACACCTTTCTGGTATTCTCTGCTTTCAGCCAGGATCCATCTGACATCAGCGATGATATCCCTGGTTCCATGTCCTCTTCTGAATCCGGCTTGAATTTCTGGCAGTTCCCTGTTAATATATTGCTGCAGCAGCTTTTGAATGATCTTCAGCAAAATTTTACTTGCATGTCATATTAATGATATTGTTCGATAATTTCTGCATTCGGTTGGGTCACCTTTCTTGGGAATAGGCGTAAATATAGTTCTCTTCCAGTCCGTTGGCCAGGTAGTTGTCTTCCAAATTTCTTGGCATAGATGAGTGAGTACTTCCAGTGCTGCATCCGTTTGTTGAAACATCTAAGTTGGTATTCCGTCCACTCCTGGAGCCTTGTTTTTTTGCCAATGCCTTCAGTATTTCGTTCTGTTGTACATGGTTGCTATGAGTCGGAACACACTTGATGGCACCTAACAACAACAAGAACATGCCTTTATATTTAGAGTGCATCTCTTGTAGACAGCATTATTTGGGTTTTCTTTTATTATCCATTTTGATAACCTCTGCCTTTTAATTGGAGAGTTTAGTCTGCTACTTTTAATGTACTTATTGATATATTTGGGTCTGAGTCTACCATTTTATTATTATTTTTTCTATTGTCTCCTCTGGGTTTTGTTCCTCTATTAGACCTCCCTTCCTGTCTTTAGAATTTCATTTTAATTTTCCTATTGGCTTTTTAGCTACAATTCTTAGCATTTTTTTTTTTTTTTAACAATATAAACTGGGGATTACAATGTACATCCTAATCTTTCCACGGTCCACATAAAGTTAGTATTGTACTACCTCATGTAAAATGTTGAAAACTTGCAATGATATAGATCAATATCTCTCACTCCAGGCCTTTACACTATAGTTGTTTTTTTGTATTATATCTATGTCATAATTATTGCTTTAAATAGTCATATTGTTATTAAAAGGAAAAAAGCAAAAATGAAAGTCATTTACATTTACCCAGATATTTACCACCTTGAAAGCTATTTTTTCTGGGTTTCCATCTGGTATAATTTCCCTTTGGCCTGATGAACTTCCTTTTTAGCATTTCTTGTAGTGCTTATCTACCAGTGATGAATTCTCTCAGCATGCTTTTACCTGAAAATGTCTTCAGTTCATCTTCATTCTTGAAGAATATTGCTGCTGGATATAGAATTTGGGGTTGACAATTTCTTTTCTTTCAGTATTTTAATGATGCTGTTTCATTCTCTTAGACTATCCGTGGTTTTTGATGAAAGTCAGTCATTAATCATATCATAGTTTTTCTGCATGTACTTTTTCACTTTTACACTGCTGCTTTCAAGATTTGCACTTTCTCTTCGTTTTCAAGTTTGACTACACTATGCCTCAGTTTAGACTCCTTCATGTTTATTCTGTTTGTTGTTGGTTATTTTGTATCTGTGTATTTCTATCTGTCATCAAACCTGGGAAATTTTGAGACGTTATTTCTTTGAATATTTTTTTCTACTCCGTTCCTTCTTTCCTTTCCTTCTGGGACTCCAGTTACGTAGGTAAGACCTTTAGTGTTACCTAAAAGGTCTCTGAGCCTCTGTTCATTTTCTTCCCCAATTTTTTTGTCAATCTTTTTTTTTTTTTTGGTTTCAGTTTTTCACATTGGGTAATTTCTATTCTTCTATCCTCAGGTTCATTTACTCTTTCCTCGGTCACCTCCAGTCAATTAATTCTGTTCAATGAATTTTTTTGCTTCAGATATTAACACTTTTCGGTTCCTGAATTTCCATTTCATTTTTTATCCTTTCTGTTTCTCTGCTAAAATGGCCTATCTCTTATATATATATTTTGAATCATTGAGGACAGTTTTAACAGCCACTTTAAAATCCTTATTTGCTAAGGTCCAACATCTAGATCATCTCAGGGTCCGTCTCAGTTGATTTTATATTCTCTCAAGAACGTGTTTCATTTTACTATGTCTTTGTGGGTCAGGTAATTTTGGATTGTGTACATAGGGTTGCTAAGAGTCAGAACCAACTCCACGGCACCTAACAACAACAATCCCAGACATTATGAATGTTAATTTGTGGAGATTCTGGGTTCTGTTATTTTTCTCTGATGAGTGTTATTTCTTTTGTTTTAGCATGTAATTATCTTGGTTGAACTTCAGATTCTGATCTTGGGCATAGCTCTAGCCTCAGTCGAGATTTTTTTGTCTTTACCTAAATCAGTGTGTGTCCCATGCATGCTTGGATCAGGGGTCTGTCAGAGATGTTCGAAGACAGAATTTGGGGATCCCCTCTGGCTCTCTCCCTTTTAAGATCATATCTACCCCCACCCACCCCCATTCTCTTCAGCAGCCACAGTTTTCCTGGCTTCAGTGTTCTGGTTTCCCCCAGCCAAACAGACTAATTTTTCCACCAATACTCCTGATGACTCGCAGGCTATATGAAGTACACCTGACCCAAGGCTAAAAGCTACAAAAATGGAAACTCATTTCATATAACAGCCCTCCTCTGAGTATGTACTCTTACCAAAGTCTGTCTTCTTCTGTTCACTCTCCACTGTCTTTGGGTAGCTGTTTTTTGTATTATTTCCAGGTTTTAGAATTGTTTTCTTTGGAGGAATCAGTGAGATAGGATCTGACTCCAGCATTACCAAATTTATCTTATTGATTCCTCCCTTGGTTTATTGAGGTATAATTTACATATAGTAAAATTCACTTCACATTGATCTTTAAAGTATACTGAGTTTTAAATACACCACCTGAACACAAAAATACCCATGCAGTACTTTCAATGTGGTTTCAAATAAGTCAAATACTATTAAAAGCTTTAAGTTTACTCAAAAAGAAATACCAATCTCAATGGATATGTGAGGACATAAAGAGCCTCATACACTATTTAGTACATTTCTAAAGGGCCTCATCATACTCTTACTAAATTCCTAAACTGTGTGTTACAAATAAGGCACTACACAGACCTAAAACACAAATCAGAGAGTAGGAGATACAACTAACCTTTTGGCCTTTTTTCTTTGATGTGTTATTTTTAAGAGAACTGCCCTTCTTGGGGACTGAAGTCTGTCCAGGTGGTTTAGTCCGACCTGATTTCTTGAGCTGCTGTGTTGGTAAGATTTGTTCAGTTTTCTGTGGAGGCTGCATTGAACGTCGGGTCACTTTGGAAGGGGAAGATTGTGTTTTTGCTATACTCTTTGTATTGGAAACTGAGGGGAAAGAAACAGAATACACACACACACACACAATTAACATGAATTCATGACTCAAAAGAAGTTTAAGTCACTCTAAAAACACTCCCAAAGGTTATTCACTGAAAACCACTTAAAATAAAGGTACCATTTAAAATGAAGTTTTAGGTGTTTTAAGATTTCATATTATCAGGAAAAGTCCAATTTTCCAAAAAAAAAAAAAAAAAATAACAATACCGCATCATTCAAAGAAGAATGTAAAAATTATAAGAAGAACCAATAACTTCAAGCCTAGCGCAGTAAAAATTTTTAGCAGTTCACCTTTTGGCTGCTTCCCATATTTTTAATCCTTAGCACAGAAAAGAATCTTTCCTTCAGAAAACACTATCCAATTATGCCATATTCAGAAATCGTTTTACCCATCAGTCTCGAAAAACATAGTGAAGCAACCACTTAGAGCTCCTGTTCCATCTTTTCAAAGGCCAGGGGAATTCCCTGCTCTTGATTTTTAATGGCTAAAATACTAAGTTCCTATAGGTATGTCTAATAACAAAGATGCATATACTATAATATAGACTCGACATTAATGCTGTCATGAGAAGACCACTATCACACTCAAGTGATTTGTTTATACTAGTTACCAAGTAGTCCAATCCAGACAGTTTCAATATTTCAAATGAAGGTTACCAGCCAGGTTGCTTTTGTCTATGTTCACAGTTACGTAAAAAGAGATATTTTTATTTATACATCTATGCAAAAATCAACTAACTTTATTTTGAAGGCTTCATTTTACAACTTGAAACCAACCTACTGCTTTGCTCTTCCCAAACTCTCTGCAGCCTTCTTATCCACCTTCTACAGTTTAACAAGCCAAGAGGAGGAACAGCCTACCCTCAGCTGCCAGGGCAAACTGAGGACACTTAACTGCCACCATCACTTTCCCCCTTATCTGTAATAATTTACCTACTTACACTAGTCTAAGTTTTCTTACCTCATTACCATTATCTACCCCACACTTCAGGCTCACTTCTACTCTTAAATAACTCAGGTAACCTAACTCACATTATTTCTTCTTACACAATCTCCCTGTCATCATCTTCAAGAATTTAACCATCTGTCATGGATTGAATTACATCCCCCAAAAAATGTGTGTATCAATTTGGCTAGGCCATGATTCCCAGTATTGTGTGGTTGTTCTCCATTTTGTGATTGTAATTTTATGTTAAAGAGGATTAGGGTGGGATTGTACCATCCCCCTTTACTAAGGTCATATCCCTGATCCAATGTAAAGGGCGTTTCTCCCTGGGGTGTGGGCTGCACCACCTTTTATCTTACAAGAGATAAAAGGAAAGGGAAGCAAGTAGAGAGTTGGGGACCTCATACCACCAAGAAAGCAGCACCGGAAGCAGAGCGCGTCCTTTGGACCTGGGGTCCCTGCACCTGAGAAGCTCCTTGACCAGGGGAAGACTGCGAACAACGAACTTTTCTCCAGAGCCGACAGAGAGAGAAAGCCTTCCCCTGGAGCTGATGCCCTGAATTTGGGCTTCTAGCCTACTAGACTGTGAGAACATACATTTCTCTTTGTTAAAGCCATCCACTTGTGGTATTTCTGTTACGGCAGCACTAGGTGACTAAGACACCATCCACATTGCTGATGCTTCAATTCAACATCCTGACCTCATCATCGGAGATTTCAGACACTCCCTAAAATTGTTATACTTGGCAATTTCCAGGACTCCTCTATCTCCAAGATAACCAACTCTGCCCCCTTTCTCTACCTCCGATTTACTTACCAGTCATCTTTGCTTTGTATCAACTGATCACGCTTTTCGTTCTCATCATGATATCTAGCCACAAGCACCCTCCATTTTCATCCAATCCATTAGCTTTCTTCTGGCTTTACTTAAATTCCCAACTCAATCTGTATCCAACTGTCCACCTCCACCATTACCCCCCTAACTAGTATCCTTTCCTTTATCATTCCTTGATCTTTGACCATATCAAACATGTAAGCTCCCACCTCCAAGTCACACTGTCATGTGGTCCTGGGCTACAGAATAAATGTCAGCAAATTTTTTCTATGCCAGGCCAGACAATAAATATTTTAGGCTTTGCAGGCCATATATGGTCTCTGTCCCATAATCTTCTTTATTTGTTTGCTTTTTTTTTTTTTTAATAATCCTTTAAAAATATAAAAACTATTCTTATCTCATGGGTTATACAAAAATTGGGCATGGGTTGAATGTGGCCCTCAAGCTATAGTTTGCCATCCCCTGCTATAGAATCAAACCAAAACCAAACCTGTTGCCCTCAAGTTGATTCCGACTCATAGCGACCCTATAGGACAGAGTAGAACTGCCCCATAGGGTTTCCAAGGAGTGGCTGGTAGATTTGAACTGCCAACCTTTTGGTTAGCAGCTATAGCACGCCGTAGCTCTTAATCACTGCACCATCAGGGCTCCAGCTGCTATAGAACATTAGGATACTACTCGTCTCTATAAAACCCACAATGACCTCAACTGGGGTGTCGCTGCTCTGACTCACTGATTTCCAAGTATGTTTCTGTGGCAGAACTTTTTTCTCTGTTAAAGTTCCCACTCCCTCCACTCTATTCCATTTAACAGCTAACCCCACCTTCTACTTTATGAGAAGATTAAAGGCTATCTTTTGGGAGTGACCTTAACCATCCCACTTCTCTGTCTTACAATACTTTTATTTTTAATCATTCTCATCTTTTCCTCTTGTATCTACTTTTCTAAGTCTAACCTCCTTTTACTTATGCCCTAACACTCATCTTCTTTGGTTCCTCTGGGACAAACAATTTCAATCATCTCCTCTCTCTCCGCGGGATTTAATCACTTTTGCTTTTCCAATTATGCCACCCTCCTTTCTGTCTTTTAACAAAAAAGGGTATCAAATTCACTCCTCTGAGTCCAGTTGTACACGCTAAAAAAAAAAAAAAGGTCAACAACATGAACTCCTATGTGAATGGCGCACTAGTCAATAAGTTCTCTCTGACAGAGGGAGTCTTGGGGTCTTTAAAAGCAGATGTGGAGACATGCTTTTAAAGGGAAAACATTAACAAGTACAGATAACACGCTGGTAAAACTTTTCAAGCTTGAAAATTTCACCTTATTGAATATTTATTTCCAAATAGTAGCTTATTAAATATACATTTCTGCTGACACATGCAGGTGGCTTTATTGCTGAAAGATAGTGCTTGCCTTCTATGAACTGTGAAAAGACATTAGCACATACAATTACCACAGAAAAGAAAATACACTTAGAAATTAAGAGCAACCACCTATTTCCAGTTACTGTTATATATGTGCTGGATTAGGTTATACATGGATGATTTCAAGAAGAATTGAAATGGATAAGAGATATAAATTAATATGTAGCTTGCTTTTGAGCCAAAAAGACTTAGTAGAAGTATGGTTGCTTACTGTTCTCCAGATTTTCCATTCACCATTTAGTTAATACCAAATGTAGTGAGCATACATTTACTGCGCTCTTTTTACTAGTCTAGGCAATTTAGGAAATTTGAAAAAAAAACAAACACAGTCCCTGTCATATAGTTCATATTTCATGTATGTGCTTGTGTATTGGAAACCCTGGTGGCGTAGAGGTTAAGAGCTACGGCTGCTAACCAAAAGGTCGGTAGTTTGAATCCACCAGGCACTCCTTGGAAACCCTATGGGGCAGCTCTACTCTGTCCTATATGGTCGCTATGAGTCAGAATCGACTTGACAGCAACGAGTTTGGTTCGGTTTTTTTGGTTTGTGTATTTGTTCATACATAAAATTCCTATTCCTTAAGTAGCTAGATATATAATTTCCTTTCCCTGAAATAGATTGAAAGGTATATATGTAACCATATGATGACAAGGGCAGAATTTACCATAGAAACAGACACTAAGAACTTGGGGCCAGATTTAAATAAAATCAAAATCTCAACAGCCAAAAAACAGAAGCGCAAGATACAGTTTGGAGAAACTAGAACCGAGTTAAAAAAAATCTACCACTTGTATATGGCTTTGGACTCTTTTCCAGGTTTAGAAATTCTTTTCAAGACATCTCTCTTTATTCTTAAAACTGCATGTACAATAAAACTTTCATCTATACTAAGGATCTTTCATACTGATAACTAGAAAACCAAAGAAACAAAATAAACCTCAATTTAGAAAAAACATAAAGATATAGGCAGGATTTTTTTCACAACAATCTTAAAAAAAAGATATAGACAGGGATAGTTACACCTAAACTATCTAACCTCGAGGCCTGGTGTTCAGAGAAACTCAGCTGTCCCGCTCAATGTTTCTGCTTGGAACTTTGCTTCCTGTCCCACAGAGTTCAGGCTGTCATAATCTGAACAGGCTGTCATAATCTGGGCAGCAATAAGGGCAAGGAGGTGGTAGAGTCAGGTGTAAACCCTCTGAGTTTCCTCCATTCACCCCTGTTGTCATGCCACACAATAGCACTGGTACCCTTGACTGATGTCCCCAGACACTGCCCCATTTCTTCTCCCCCACCTCCACTGTATCAGAGGTGTCACCCATCTCATCCCAAAAGCCCAATCTTACTTCAAGAATTAAATGTTCATAACAACCAAAGACCTCTTTAAAGTGTTAAAAAGGACTAAGGTGCTCCTAACCCAAGCCATGGCGTTTTCAATCGCCTGATATGCATGTGAAAGCTGGACAATGAATAAGGGAAGACCGACGAGGAACTGAAGCCTTTGAATTGTGGTGTTGGTGAAGAATACTGAATATACCATGGACTGCCAGAAGGATGAACAAATCTATCTTGGAAGAAGTACAGCCAGAATGTTCCTCAGAAGCAAGGATGGCGAGACTTTGTCTCACATACTTTGGACATGTTATCAGGAGGGACCAGTCCCTGGAGAATGACATCATGCTTGGTAAAGTAGAGGGTCAGCAAAAACGAGGAAGACTCTCAATGAGATGGATTGATACAGTGGCTGCAAGAATGGGCTCAAGCATAACAACGATCATGAGG